TACACTAAGTAGTAGGTGTTACCATATATATATATATATATATATATATATATATATATAGTATGTATACATATATATACACATATGAACATTTTAAATGAGGAAAAACATCTTCAATGCCAGACTTTCTACTCTACACAGACAAAAGGACTAGATTCTAAAAATAAAAGAGGAGACAAAGTAGAAATACCTTTAAAAGGCGGTCTAGGAGCTCAGATCCACTTTTCACATTGGGGTCTGGGTCAGCAGCCAACTATGAGGCACAGAAACAGGAGAGAAAGAGAGGCAATGGTCAGAAACATACCCATTGCAAACCCACAGCCAAGGCCAGGGTACAGCTGAGAACACTAAGGGGTGCCTTTCCCAGTGTGACTTGGAACCACTGGAATTTCCATTCTATTCAGGGATATCACCCCCCAACCCTGCAGGGGTTCCCAGACCTTGCTGTGACTAGGTCAAGCAATTGTTTCCAGCAGCTATTCCGGGGGCTTTTCCATCTTTAAGAGGCCCTGGGCTCATGGAGGGGCGGGAGGGGGAGCTGTGAGGTTGGTATTTAGAAATGCCCATGATATTCACTCTGCAGGGGCAGCAGATTTCCTGGCTCACTCTGTGCAACTGGGGAGGGCAACTCCCCCAGGATGAGAGTGAGAGCAAGCCCATTAGGGTGAGAGAATCAAACCCCCGAGGCTGAAGAGATTGCAAGTCCACCAAGCCACTCCCTCAGGATGAGAGAAGGGCAACTCATCATGCTGAGGCCCCAAGGAGAACACTGGGGAGTCTAAAGGCCTATCCTGGAGCTTTCTTTAGAGCAACTGTGAGAGTCATCACCACTCTCCTCACAGGGGTACAGCCTGTACTCTGGAGCCATTATCACCTTTGCCTGGGAGGTTAGGACGTCTCAAACTATCAGCTCTTCCTTCCAATGTGTACAGTAGGCTGATAGTTTCATAAAATGCAATAAAATGGATAGAGAAATAAAAAATATACAGATAAAAACCTATTAAAAATTAGGTTCAGACTGGTGCCCCTTGCAGTCACAAGCATATCTGCCCTGCTTGCATCTGGGAAGAGTGCCTCAAGCACCCAGGGTCCTAGAAGGTCAAGTTAGGTGGGTGGGCTGTACTTAGCTCACTGAGAAAGAAGTACCTTACTCAGGCCATCAAAGAGTACGTTGAAGTGTGGCAATACAGCACCCCGGGCCACCTTGACGATGTTGTAGAGGGCTTCGCAGGCGTAGTAGCGCAGCCTGCTGTCTGCATCATTGAAGCAGGTCAGCACTGGCTCGATCAGCTCCTTCAGGTACAGCCCTGAGTCCTGTGAGGGGCAGGGGACACAGCTCAGAACAGGCCGGGCCCTAGCTCTGTAGCCTGCAGTGGCAGCTCACAGCCTTGGTGCCTCAGAGATGTTCAGGCATCTGTGTGACACCCCAAGTCAGCCTCCCAGAATGGCCCATACTTGGGGACATGGCTGCAAGGCCAGAAAGCCAGGCTTGCTAGTCTTAAGTGTGCAAGGTGGAGATACAATATAGGTCTGCAAGTCTCTGCTAGGGCCCAAGTGGGAAGGTATCTGGACAGACAAGACCTGGTGTGCTGTCCCTAAGGAGAAGGCCCACCTTGCCCAGGGCGATGGAACAGGCAGCCAGGCCGATGAGACCCCCTTTCCGGCTGTGGGGGTGCTGGGACAAGGCAAACTCCTGAGACAGGGTCTGGATCACATGCTTGATTTGCATGGTGTTGTTCTGGGCCACGAAGTCCCGCACCAGCCTGGAGAGAGAGGAGAGAGCAGCTGTGAGATAGGTGGAACCAGGCTACCTCTCCTTAGTACTGGTTCCAGGCATGGATGAACGATGAGCTGTTCAGAAAGAGGAACTGGGGGTCAGCCTCAGAGGACAGGCCCTCTCAGTTCTGTTGCTGGCTGGGAGATGCAGGGTGGGTCACGGTTGTCTTCCTACTTGGGATCTCAGTTTCCCTTTGTGAATAATGCAGCGAGGCACAATGGGGCTATCTCATGCTTAGGAATCTGAGAGAAGGCAAATTCATGCATCATCAGCCATCAAAAGTGCAATGCTTCTTCGTCATCAACCGTCTTTAGTGAACACTGGCTCAGCTTTGCATCATACATCCGAGGTGTTCTCTGCATCTGAGATGGGGACACACAGCTAGCTGTACTGGGCCCCAGTCCAGTGGTAAAATCCAAGTACAAACAAAAAGTTGCAGCAAAGTGGAGTATGTGCTACCACAGAAGCAGAACATGCCATCGGCTGTCTGTGCACGTCCAGGAGAGCTTGACAGCGCGGTCCCACCTGAATCAGTATCTTATAAACATGACACTTCCCAGGTAAAGGAAGCCAAGTGTATTAGTCAATTTCAAAATACCAGAAGCAGGTTCACATGAAGAAAAGAGGTTCATTTAGCTCACAGTTAAGAGGGTTCGAGGACATGGTGCCTGCATGAGCTCAGGGTTGTCTTTGGCTGAATCACCTTGAGGCAATGGCAGGAGCATGTATAAAAGGAAAGGACATGATTACAAGGTCTACGGACTAGGAATGAGTCAAGAGCCTTCAGGCGGAAGCTGTTGCTGGTTCCTAGGCCCTACCTCCAGAAGTAGCAGCTCTCCAGAAGGTGTGGCAAGAACAGAAGCACAGAAACCTGTTTGGTCTTCATCAGGACAAACCAGCCCAGTGAGAACCAGTGCTTCACCAGAGCTCCTGAGTTTCAGAGACAGCCCTGTGGGAAGAGCCCTGCAGATACCACAGATGACAGCTGAAGCATTGGTGGTTCAGTGGTAGAATTCTCGCCTGCCACGCGGGAGGCCCGGGTTCGATTCCCGGCCAATGCAAAGCTCTGTTTTTGCTAACTCTTGGCTAGTTTCCTCACACTGAGATCCTGCCAGAGGAGCCAGACTCCTCAATCACAGAGGCCCAAGGTATCTGTGACTCTGGGACCATATTGTTCCCACTCAGAGAGTCCATGGAGAGTGACCAGGGTCTTCAAAAAATCATGACTGGCTGCGGGAGCCTCCACCTGAAAGGGGACTCGCTATACTGCCCTCAGCCTGGGCCAGGTGCCAGCAGGAAGCAGTGTGAAAATTGAGAGCAGAACAGTTCAACACCAAGTGGGAGGAGCCATGCAGCAGAGGGGAGACTGGGGTTAGACTGGAAGAGCTCACACAGCAGAGGGGAGACTCGCCCACAGTCTCCCTGTACTTCTGCTATTTACTGAGGAAATTGAGCTCTGTCTCATACATTGCCTGAAGGCAAATCTATTTCACAGACACACACAGACACACTCATTCCCTCCTGCTCAAGCTGGTTTTCTCTTTTTCTCTTCTAGGGGCTGTGCTGATGTGGCAGCATCAGAAATGCAGTCTGTGATTCAACATATATATGAGGAGGTCCAAGAATGGGGTTAAAGGGAGGTGCCACACAGCTGCTGACAGCTGGGGCATTGGTGGTTCAGTGGTAGAATTCTTGCCTGCCACGCGGGAGGCCCGGGTTCGATTCCCGGCCAATGCAGTAGCAAACCTTTTAAACCTAAGAGACTAAAGCTGAAACTTCATACTGCCTAATCAATTTGTAAATAGGTTCAGAAAATTGCAAATGACTTGTTTCTAGCTTGATTTTTAAATGCCTTTAATGGAAAACAGTTTCCTAAATTCCAGATTCAGAACCCAGGGAAGTGGGGGTATACCACAGCCACATTCTTGCCCAGACAGACCCCCTCCCTGGGGAAGCCAGGCTCTGCTTCTGCCTGGTACAAGTCACAGCAGCAACTGGAATGTGAGGAAACAGTGGGGTGTGGGGATATCCTCCAGGCTCCAGCCAGGTCCTATGAGGAAAGCTAGCCTCTACCACAGGTTATCTCCTCTCCTGCTCCTGATGACTCCGGGCCATTCACAGAACAGCTGGGGAGTCTCACATGGATGCAATCACTGACCTTGGCATCTGAAGGAATGTGGCCTTTTACGGGTTAGCATCAGAGAGGGTTCTGAGGCATGAGGAGATGTTCATTTGTTCTGGCTCACAGGCAGGAGGGGCAGGCATGTGGCTTGGCAGAAGTAAGGCCAAAGTGGAGAAGTCACAGGTTTGTAAAAATAGCTGCCAGTCAGCAGTATGACACCCTGAATGCTTGGCAAAGCAACTGGCATCTCCCTCTGGTGGCTATGAGGGACTGTGGAAAGTGGCCAACATAGGATGGATGACATCTTAGGAGCAACCTACATGCTGGCACTATGTATCTGAAAGGCACTAAGCGAGCTCTGAAGACAGCACAGGCTCCCAGACTGACTGGCAGAGAAGGAACATGGCCCTGGTGTCAGAGTGACAGCTTTCAAGAGCAACATTGTTCTGAGGGAGAAGATGGGCAGTGGGGATAGTTCATCATCCTCTGCAAGCCCAGCAGTATCTCTCCCTTTGCTGGACTCCAGCTGGGAGGCCTATCAGGGCTCAGTTCTGGTACCCTAGGCCTCTACAGAGCCTGTTCAAGTCCCTCAGCCACAGGCATCCTTACAATAAAGGTGGGATCTTCTTTTATCTTCAGGTAAGCAAGCATTGGTGAAATAAACAATGGCTCCCTTTGGCATGTTCCCACGAATGCTACCAGCCCAGAGAGCATTGGCGCTGTCCTGGGGGCCAATCCTGCCCCATGAGTCAAACCCACCTTTAGCTGACATACAAAGCAGTGTAAATGAGCCAGGTGATCTCTCCAGCCTGATGGTGCTGAGGCCCTAGTCTTATCACAAGTTGGCAGGGGCAAAGGGCATCATTCCTGTGATCCCTAAACACACACTGAGAATGGCCTAGCTCACCACAGCTATAGCTGACACACACACACACACACACACACACACACGCGCGCACACACACACACACACTGGGATGTGACCTGAAGTGCTCCCGCTGAGGGGCACTGTGCGCACAGCCAGTCAGTGGCCTGGTCTCCCCACTTCACAGAGCAAGAGAAGAAAAGCAGCTACGATGGCAGCAGAGGAAGTGAGGTTCAGCAGCAGCAGCCAGCTCTGGGCCTAGTCTCTCTTCAAAGACCATGTTGCTTCTGCTTTCATCTACAGCGAGGGAGCAGGGCGGGGGCAATGGGGGTGTTCTGAGACCAAACTCATTTTGAAGTTAATATCTGGCCCAGAAATTCCACGGATCAGGATCCCTGGGGTCCTTTAGTGATACAAAGGCCTCAGGCTTTACTGTTCTGTGCGAAGACTGCTGCTGCCTGGCTTCCCCATGGTGCTGAAAACCCGGTTCAATGAGCCAGTTCCCTAGCGGTGAGGTGGACTCTAGTGGTTGCTCAGAGCCTCCATTTGCAACCGGTGGGAGGTGTGGCAGGATGGCAGAGATACTGTCCCTCAACATCCACAAGCCCCAAGCTGGGCCAGCACCAGGTTCAACTCATGGCATTAAAGAGATTGCTATACCAATTACTCCCTCCCTGATAGGAGTCACAGGCATGGTAGGATGTATTTGAATTGTCATCAGCCAACAGAGAACCTGGGGCCACACTCTGTGCTACAGAGCCATAGCCTTGCACTGGAACCCCTGGCCTCTGTAACAGTATGGCGACAGTCAGATTCATGAAGATTGGTAAGTTGGCCCCTTCTGAAGCACTAACTCTACACTAGGGATTTCAGAGGCCAGTTACTGTAGCTTGTATGCTCATCTTCCAGATCTAAACAACCCCAGGGAAATCAAGTTCCTTTCTCAGGGTCACAGAGGGTTGCGACATCAACAAAGTCTATTTCAACTGTGCCAGTTTCTTCCTCCTCTCTTCTGAATTCACTGCTGCTACAAAGTGAACACACTCAGAGACAATTCCCTCATGCAGACTCAGGCCTTTAGGTGACATGTGACTTTCTCCATACATTTCTACTACTCAGTGTTTAGAAAGTCCCGAAGCACTCCTTCAAACACACAGCAAGTACCGACAAGGCACACACTCCAGATACTCTGGAATAGAGCTAGAGAGCTGCCTTCTACCATGAGGTGATGTACTAGCTTCTATATACACATGATCTAATTTAAATTTAAAACTCAGCCATCAAGCTGGGTACTATAAGATCCAGTTTACAGTTGGGAAAACTGAGGCTGAGGAACACATACTTGGCCACACAGCTTGGCAAGATTTACATTAACCACAAGGACTTTACTTTAAATTTTAGAGAGTTAAATTGGACTGTGTGTATCACACGCTCTTCTCTGCACATATTCAAGTACCAGAGTCAAGTGGGAACCAGGGAGACCAACTGTGATCTATATACCCCCAATAAGACTATGCTCATTCAACAAGTTCTGACCCATCACCCACTCTTCAGGCTCCAAGGAGGCTAGAAAGACAACCCCAGAGTTGACATTTATTCCTTTGTTATGAAACTTTCAGCAGAGATTTGGGGCTTTTATTTTTTCCCCTCAAAAGTCCAATAATCTGTCCTGGTTCTCTGTGTGACATACTTTCTTTTCTTTGTGGCATATGTATTCAGGTGGCATTTCCATGCAGCAAGTTCCCAAAGAGAATCTGGGTAAACAACTCCTCTGTCTGTTTTACTGAGTACTGGAGTAATTTGGTTTACATTTGCTTACATGTCTCCAGACAACTGAATGGACATGCACATGTGCCTCCAAGGACAGGCCAAAGACCTTCTGGCAAAGCCTGAGACTTAACAAACACATTCTGAGTTAAGGGAGGAATGGGCAGTTAGTATGATCAAAATACATTAAACCCATGTATAAAATTCTCAGAAGTTAATAAAAATATATGAA